GCTAGTGAGTACATCCTCCTTGGCGATGCTGAGAGAAGATGAAGTGCTGAGGCTGCAGTGCATGTGCTCTGGTGCCTCGAAGGCATGAAGAGCCACAGGAGAGGAGGGTCATCCTTCTGCTTGCCATGCTTCTCTTCCTCCCCCTGCCATGTCAAGGGCATTCCCGTTACACAGAAAGGAGAAAAGTGGGCTTGTCTTTGAGACAATCCTGAGGGGTTTTTGGCTAATGGTTACTGCAAAAATGGTTCATTGAGTAAGTCTCAGACTGTTGGTACAAGTCTACGTCATTGTTCCAATGTACATCTAAGTGCCTCGCTCGGGTTGCCTAGACATGGGTGTTCATTGGCAGTAGGAGGGGGATTCATTGACACCTCTGGCTTGCAAAGGGATCAGGATCTGAGGGCTAACCTCCTTGTCCAATCTTTCTCTTCCAAATCCAGTTACAGGCAAAAGTTATCCTTGATAAATAACCTAAGTCAAGAATGTCAGTTTTCCTCTTGGAGGAGGTAAGACTGAAATTTGCTTTGGTTTCTAATAGCCGAGGGGAAGAACACTAATGGCTTAGAGTAAAGGCCTTCCTGTAGTCATAAATTCTGCTTCTTGGGGGATAAAGGATTTAGAGGATGATAAACAATCTCAAAATTCCTTATTTCTTTTACTTTAAGTGAAAAATGCTACTCTATTGAGTCATCTAGAGTCAGCCGCATCAGTCTCAGTCGTGATTTTCCATTTGTTGTATCCATCGATAACATCCCTAAATGAATGTTTCATTAAAGAATGTAGACAGAAATGGGAGGCAGTAATTATTTGACTAATTTAGAGCTGGAACACTTCACCCAGCTTCTTCCAGGAAAAGAATTGCTGTAAGGTGTGACCTCCATATCACTTAACCTGGAGATTTTTCTGAAGCCAAAGCCCAGCTGATGCTTTGTCATGTGCTTGGTGTTTTTTATTGATGAGCATCGCAGGCACAGTCTCCTTCCAAGGGAGAGCTTCATCCAGAAATACTCCTCCAGCAGTGGGTCACAGCATGTCAGTAGGAACAGGAAAATCCACTTTGCCATAATGATGCTTATGGGGGGGAGTGCAAGACCTTTCGGAGAGAAGCCCGGACAGACTTTCTTTGCTCCAGCTGTATTGGACCGTCATATGCTAACTACTGGCTGAGTTAAGGGATGGGGCACAGCTGTGGCTTCCTTAAAGCGTATTATTAATGGTATCCGCGTAACCACTCAAACTCAGAAGGCATCCTGTTGCTTAACCATGAGAGAAAGCACCCTGATTATTTTTAATATCTTTTTTCCTCCAACACCTGGTGTAAGAAACAGGAAAAGAAAATTCTTTGGAGACAATGGACTCAAAGCTGCCTGTCAGTGGACTGTGCAATGGGAGTCTTTTGAGGATGGCAACTGAGTACAACACAGTGCTGCAGTCTCCCTCTTAGCTCTGCTATGTTCCAGGTCAAAGGAAGATGTGGGGATGAGCTTGGGTCTGCTGGATAAAATAATGTTGCAAATAAGAATAGGTCATGAAACCACCTGGTGACTGTCTCATGCTTTCAGGTTTTATTTTTTACAGCATTAGGCATGCATGAGTTAGCATGACATTTTGGGCTGGATAGATGCTGCCATGCGTGACGTGCTTCAGAGCTTGGCTGCAGCTCTGAGTATAAACATAACCCCATCCCGGGCAGAGAAGTTGCTAAGATGATGGCTTGTTAGTGCAATCTTTTGCTCTCATGTGTCTCCTCTTATTAAACCAGACCCCTTGTATGCTCTGTGGCACACTCCTGCACAGAAGGAAACAGCCAGGGATAAATACTGAGATGTAGTACTTTATACCTACCTCTGAAATGTTTAAATGAGGAAGCTCTCTACAGTAATCTTTGAAAACAGGCTGCCACATTCTATGAAGATGGCAATTTTCCCCTGCAAAATCACATGATCCTGGCAAAAATCAGAAAGATGATACGGAGGAACTACAGTCAGTTAACTCTTTAAAAAAACATGGTTTTGTAGTTTGATATTCTGTTACTAGGATCTGAAGAGTGTATTTGGATAATAGCTGGATATAAATGCTAGATATAATTAATAGATAGAAATGCTGAGAACGACTAATCAGCAAATTGTATTCTTAGGCTTGCCCAGACACACATTCTAAAAGGAAATCATTACTACAAAACATTTTCCATTTAATCTCTTGTGCTTTCACTTCTTGGAGGCTGCTTGACAAAATGAAAAAAAAAAATCAGAAAATAACTGAGAAACCAGCTCACAAGCAAGCTCAGAAACAGGGTGCAGTTGGAATCTTAAGTAGTCGTTATGTACCTGGAGATTAGCCTCATCATCATCACCACGGTCGCTGTAGTCAAGCTGGCTGTGAATCAGTGACTGCTCGTGGTTTCTTCCCTTATTGTTTCCAACAGTTGGAATAATTTTCTGCTGTAGCTTTGTTATGAGCATCTTGTTCCTTCAGTTCTTTCCTATCCACTCCTATCCTCCAAACAGCCTTAGTCTCAATGTGTAATGTCATTGAATGGTACCTAAAATAATGAGGAAGGTGCGAAGGTGCAAACGTGCACCACTGTGCCAGGCAGGGCCTCTCTCCCGATCAAATCAATCCTCTCCTGGTTTCATGGAGTTGGCGGGAGCTCACCAGCCTGGCAGCTGCTGCAGGCAGCTACAGGCAGCACTCAGCAGCTGCCAACACCTGGGCAGCTCACCTGCCCTCCTCCCAGTGCAGCACGACCACTGGAGAAGCTGCTGAGGAGGACATCAGCCTCAGCTGGGCCCTGAGGTTTGTTATCAGCACGAAACACTGATGAGCATTGACTTTTCCACACAGCAAATTGGTTCTGGTGGCGTGGTGAGAGCCTGCTTCGCTGCTGGGGAGCCTGTGTTTGTCTCTGAAGATGAAACATCACTGGTCAAAGTCTCACCTTACCTTGGCTTAAGTTGAAAAGTAAGCAGCCAGATCCAGCCCAAAACTCACTGCCGCCAAAGAAGCGTCTTTGCTGGTTTTTGTGAGGTTTTGGGGAATGTGCCTAGCCAAGGCAGGGGGCTTAAAACTACCTGTCCCAATGTTTCCTGTCCCAGAGTTCAGCAGACCTTTAGAAGCAGTTAAACTTCTGGATTGCTTTCAACCTTTGAATCCTTGCTTGGACATAGCAACTTGCTTGAACACATTTTAAATTTTTAAGTCATCCGAATTTAGGCCTTTCGGAGGAAAATGTCCTGAGCCTGGTGATGAATACGAAAAGGCAAGAATTACACATGCAGAACCATTACCTTACTGAGACTCGTGTGTTGCCACAATACAAAATAGTTTTTATTCTTGTGTCTTAGACTAGGGTTGGGACATTCAAAAGGCAATAATCTCTTGGGTTAAGAAGCCAGCTGCTCTGTTCTTCCTTACTTCCTCAGCAACACAAGGCCACGAGAGCAGTTAAAAAGGGTTTTTTTTTTTCATTGTTTTTAATCCAATTCTTCAGTGGAAGTGGACACTCTTTTTTTTATTGAATCAGTTTATTTCATTGCTGCTGCTGGAAAGCTATTTTATGGCCAACAAGAAGGTAGAAAATCTTGGATGTTCTCCTTTTCATTAGGGTTTAAGGTTTGCTCAGGTGAAGGATGGTGCACAGCTCAGAAGAGATCTTGTCTTGCTGCTGCGCCCATCCTGCTCAATGCGCTCCGATACGTGGGGGTGACAAAATGAGCATCCTCCCTCCTCACCTGGGTGGGACAGTTCAGCATCACACACCTTGCTGCGGAGGCTTTATTCCTTGACTCAGAATATCTGTGCCCTGTCCGTCATCAGACCTCTCTTGTCAAAGCTGGGTTGCTCCTGCCTCATCTACTGACTGCTCCAAGACGGGTGGTGGAGCATCTTGGGACAGCTTTGCTGCAGATAAACTCAGAGAAGCCCCCAAGCCCCTCCATGTTGACAGCCATGGAAAATCTTCCAACGTGAGCCTTTAAACGCTATTCCTGGTGGGACAAAGCCAAGTTGGATACAAGTAACCTTCCCAACCTCCCTCTCTCCCCTCCCTGGTTATCAGCCTCTGTTAGTTGCTTGCATTTTGGACAGCCAGGCTGGGTACAGAAATAACGGTAACGGTGGCTGTATTCACCTTGAATGACCCTGGTTTTACCCCCAGGTGTATGGCATTGAGGTGTTTTTCCCCTAGAGTAATTTCCAAGCACATCCCCTTAAGAGTGAGCTGTAAAGCCTCACTGGGAGACGGCTTTGCTCCCGGAGCATCGCCACATGGCCACCCGCTCCGTCTGTCTCGCTGATTGATTTTTCCCTCCTGAAAGCCAAGCGCTGCCTGCAGGCCTGCTCGGATCAATGCTGGTGAGGAAGCGAGGGAAAACAAAAGGAAGAAATAAGGCTTTGACTCCAGGCGCTGAAGGCAATTGTCGTATTTTTCCCCTTTGAAACCTGAGCAGGAGTTGCCTGGGATCTGTCAGGCTGTGAGTTCTGACACATTTGGTAAATATTTAGGGTCTGATTCACCACTGAATCATTCTGTTATTTTTTTGGCTCTATTTGGAAGAACTCCTCTGTCACTGGGATAATACCAGCCATCTGAGGTCCTTTTACATTTTTATTTTAGCATCTCAGCCATGTGTGCCTGTCCTCACAGTCACCTGTCGGGATGGGTGTCATCCCTGCCTGACAGAGGCACCTGGAGACACATTGGTCTTGGGCACCAGTGTTCTTCTCTGACCCTAAATCCAAAACTGGCTAAGAGCTCCAGCCATCAACGTGTGAGACCCTGGTGTGATGCCAAAGTGTCCATGCATAGCAGAAGGTGGTACATGTGCAGCATTGCAGCCCCTCTCGCGGGACTGGCCATGCTGTAGGTGCCCCTTGCTGCATGGTGGTCGTTTAATAGCTGCACTAGTTGTCTTGCTATACCTGGGACACCTTCTGGGGGGAATGTGAGAGGAGCATATTTCTCTCCAGAGATGACTGCAGTCAGTGTTTTCTGTGCACAGATCTCTGCTTTCATCGCAGGTAGAAGACAGCGTGATGGATGTGTACGATTTTGTGTACGAGGAGGTGAGGAGGAATGCCTCCAGCTTCAGGAGGCACGAGCTGACTGCCATCCATGAAGCAGTAAGTTATCTTTCAGCCTTAGCAGAAAACCTTCCCCTGGGGTATCTTCCTGGTGGTTTCAGCAGGGTGGGGCTGATGCCTGTGCTCTGCCTTGTGGATGCTGCAATGCTGTTTTCCCTCAGGAGCCAAGTCCTCCAGCCTGCTGTGAAGTCTGCTCCTCCCTTCCTACTCTTCCTTTCCCAGGTTTGACAAACCAGACTATTAACAGGAGGAAAGGGCCACCTACCTGAGTGTCACTCTGGTGCGAGACCTTAAAAGCTTTTGCACTGTAGCTGATATATATATATAGTCTGTCTCAGCAGGCCCTCTGCTGTGCTCTCTATCTGTGGCATGAGAAAGTGGACATCCACCTCTCTGGTGTCCCCAGTGGGGGGGGAAGAGTTCCACATTGTCCAGCAGAAGTGTCTGGACTTGGTTATTTGGGTTTACCCTTGAGCCTACAGCTGAGGAGTACTGGAGGCTGTGGCCTGTTTCAGTGCTGGAGGGTGCTAGCAAGCTCTGCAGAAGCTCCACAACCCACCACCCAGGATGCTGTTGGCACAGGGGGCTTCTCTGTGGCTCAGTATGTGGGCAAGGGTGGCTGCCCAGAGCACAGGGAGGACACTTGCCCTCAAAGCTACAGGAGATACGTGAGTATTTCTTCCATGGTGAGAAACTCCCAAGTCCCCACTGAGAAAAGGAGATGCTATCTCCTCGCGCAGCAGGGCCTGTTTGGGTAGAGAGTTCATGGCACGCAGCAAGGCTGGGCAGGAAGGTCAGCTCTGCTTGCCTATTTCCAGACACCTCCTGTGCAACTCCCTTTATCCTTCTGTGTTTTCTTAAATCATTGTAACAAATATTTTCCAAAGCTGCTTTCATCCATGCTTCTCCAAATGCAGAAAAAAGGGCAAAAGTTTCTCGTTGCAACAGCGGTGGTGGCTCTCAGCCATGACCAGGTGTGGCGGTGCTTGCTCTGCAGGGTTGTGGAGCAGCAGACCCAGAGTCTCCTTTGGCAAAGAGAACCAGGCACAATACCCAGCTTCTTTGGTTGCTTATTTTAGCCACTTTAACTGATGGAGAAACAGTCCTACTCCTGGGTTGGTTTGAGTTGGTTGGTTGGTTTGTGTTTTTTTTTAACTTCTGCTAGAACTGCAAGCTGGCGAGTTCACCCTGCCTATAGGAAACATGATGGGTGTTGCTGGGGACAGCCCCCACCCGTAACAGGCCGTGGAAACCTGAGTCTGTGCATCCCACAGTTTTCCAGAGCGGCCGCTGAGAGAGCTGGTGTGACCATGGAGGGAGGGCTTGGCCCCTGACCCTTTGGGGCCAGATCCATCCATCTCCTCTGAATTTAACCTCCATTGCTGCAGCGGTCGATTGCATACCTATGTGCTTCACTCCTTGCAGCCCTGGTTGCTTCACCCTGGCTGTGAGAGCAGTGAGGAAGGGTGGCCCATCGCTGGCACGTCCTGCCGCAGCAGCTGGTGGCGAGGGGAGAGCCCCAGTGGGCGGCTGGCAGACCTCTCCCTCTCTTCCAGTTCCTGTGCTGCGGGAAGCACTCTCCTTTTGGGGACACCACCAGTGTTGAGCAAAAGACATGCCCGCCCGGCCAGGTGCACGATGCGGGACAGGTAAGGGGATGGTTTCTTCCACCCCACCGTGGGGTTGTGCCACTACTCGCTAACTGGTAAAACCTCACTGGTAGACACCAGCGATAATGGTTAAGTATTAATGAGAATTGTGGCTTTCTCATGGTTTGAGGGTGCTACGAGTTGGGGTTTGTTTTGTTGAGGTTTTGCTGTTTCAATAAGGAGGCGTGTCACCTGCTGGAGGAGCCCTGCTGGATCAGCAGGTCTCAGAGCTGCAGATGTGTTTCCTTTGCAGCTCTTGAAAGCCTTCAAAATGCTTCTGTTTGCAGTCTGCCGCTTCCCTCCAGCTTCCTCCTCATCTCCTGTGTACACAGAACGTGAGAGGTATCACTGGCACGTATCTGAGCTCAAAAAAATTGTTGGACTTTTCCATGTGACACTAGTTTCTGAGGCTTAAAAGATGTCCCACTAACAGAAAACATGGGATTTGCTGTAATTCCTTTTTCCCGGGGCGTTCAATAGGAGTTAAAATGAGAAACTCATGAAGCAGGATGATGATGCCTGGCAGGAGCTTCTTTCTTCCTTTTTGCAGTATCTCAGTGAGAAGCCACCACTATTAGACTGCCTCTGCACTGAAGCTGCAATGTAGACTTTATACTCCCCGAGCAAATCTATTGTATGATTATTTTTCTTCCACTGGCGTAGCCAAATCAGCTGAAGTAGCTAGAGCATCAGCATGTATGTAGTCCCTAGGAAAAACAAAGCCGTGTTGCTACAGCTATACGAAAACATCGTCAGGCAAAGACGTCAAGCACTAACAGGAGGCTGTGATGCACAGGCACGCGTCAGCCCGCGGGGCAGCGTTTCAAAGCACCGGCTCCAGGAACGTCACGTCTTGCAGCAGGGTTGAACTTGGCTCAAAGAGCAGGAAGGGAGAGCAGAGCTAAACCGGGCACCATAGGGGTGACTCTGTTCCCCCCTGGCTAATGGTTTGTGTTGCCTCCGGTGGCGAGCCAGGCGAGGTGGGTGGGAGGGTGCGTTTTGCAACCCAGGGGATCACGGCTTGGTAGCTGCAGTACATTCGCTCTCTGGCTTTGAGCATTCTTACTTCACTCTGCAAATTGCTTCACCGAGGGCACGCTCTTGCACTTTTGAAATGGCTCTCTTGGCTAACACCTCCTGCATTTCCATGGGGCCCCTGGCATGCTTAAGGCTAATGTATATTAACGCTTGTGACAGCTTGCAAAACTGAGCAGTTCATTAAGTTCATTAGTATCTTTGGGGGATGTATTTAGCATTATGGTGTGCTCTGCTTTTCCATCCTTTCATTTCCCCCTTTCCATTTGCCAGTGGGTGGAAAGAAAAAAGCTCTTGCATGACCACACTTACCTGTGCGCACGCACATCCCCCACAGTCTGAAATGCATCTTAATGAGAAAATCATAGGTGTATTTGTAGTAATAGAAAATATACTGCGGGTGTTTGTCTTTCCAAGTTGCAGCGAGCAGCAGAAAAAAAGGAGAGCTGCCCATGGAGCAGCCCAGCCGTGCAATGCTGCGTCCTCCCCCTTGCCTCTGTTGCTGTTTGGGGTCATGGTAGTGCTGTTGGGGGGACGAAGTCCCCCACCGAGCTGCTGCTGTGCTGCAAGGGGTGTCTCTCTCCTCCCAGGACTGCCTGCGAGAGATCCAGGACTTCCTGAAGAAGCACATGGACTTTGTCTCCACGCTCCTGGGTGTCACCATCGGCTTCTCGGTAGCTACGTCTGTTCCTTCACATTTTGGCCGAGAGAGGCAGGATCCAGCAAGGGAGGCGTATCCTAAATTAGCCCCCAGAAACTAGGATTTCTGATTATTTTGGAGACCAGCAGCCTAGAAGAAAGCAGTAGCAGACCCCACCACGGAAATCAAGAAAGGGCCAGGACCTGTCTTGGCCAGGCTGATGGCCACAGAGGTTTTCCTGCAGGAACAGACTTGCTGCACGGTTTTTCTGCCCAAGCTAGGCACGGCAGCTGGGGGCGGGGAGCAGCAGGAGCAGGCTGTGGCAGCTTTTGTTTCATCTGGCCGGGCTTGCCTGCATGGCTTCTCCTGCAAGTGAGGCCGTGTCACCTAGCACAGGCCTTGAGGATCAGGTGGGAAGCCAGCAGCATTTGTGGAAAAGGAGATGCAGTAAAAGCTCCATATTTTGGGAAACTTGCTGCCTCTCCTTGCCCGGCTTTCACTGGCTGCCTCCCAGCTCAGCCTGGGAAGTCATTTTGTGCAGCCAGAGCTAGAAGGTCTTGAAAGCTACTGAGCACCAGCAGTGGAGCTGGAAAGCTGTGCAGAAAGGGGAGGTTTAATCCCATTAATAATTGCTAACAAACCCAGTAAGGTGCACCTCGAGCAGTGGGTGGGCAAAGCATGGGCTTGTAAAGAGCAGGCTGCAAAGGAGAGGAGCAAAGTGTGTTTCATGTGCTCCAAGGAGCCATCTTGAAAGGAGGATCTTGCAGAGGAGGGCTGTGATCATCTTGGAGGATGACTTGGGTAGAAAGGGTCCGTACTGAATTTGAGGATCTTGCTTGGGGGAGGACAAAAGAATAAATGAGGTTCTGCAAGAGGAGTGTGCCCTTCAGTGGTGAGGGGGCTTGGTCGCTGCATGGGGATGGTCCCTTTGGAGCTGGAGAGTGCTGCTAATTAAGATTAAAACAAGCCTGCTCGTATGCCCACCTGCAGCTTGGCAGAAGTGTATCACTGCAATTACCTCTATACGAGAGCCCAGCACATGTGGGTGAGGCATGCCAGAAAAAGAGTACATGCAAGGAGACTTGTTTTTTCACCATGAAGAGAGGTTTGGTCTGCTGTGATACCTCCATGCTGCTCCCCAGCTGGGGTGACCTTTCCTGACTGAGTATGTATTTGGAGATTGTTTTACTACCTGTGTCTGCCTTGGCATAATTGTGGGTTAGAAGACTCCTCCCCATCTAAACAAAATCCAGAGGAACAAACACTTTTCTATTTTATACTGCTAGTATTAAATTAGGAAAACCATCAGGCATTGCTGTGGGGGTATAAATGTAAAGTCATGTGTGAATATTTGGTGTTGCTTTCTAATTTTTCTCAGGTATAGGAGGAATTTCACTGCAGCTATGTTCAGACAAAAGCGGAAGTGTTTTTATTATATATCTCTCTTTTCACAGCTTGATGCTATAGCCAGATAAGGCGGCTGTCTTTGAAGTGTGTGCGAGAGGAAATCTTGCTGCACAGTTCAGTATTGTGATGGCAGGATGCAAAGGAAGCAGACGACGTGGGCTATAGCTGCTATGATGTTGCTGGCCGACAATGCACACACATCCCCAGATCAAGCTGCCAGCAAAGACACTCACATGTTAAGGCAGAATTTCAGGAAAGAGCATGTTGTTGCAGCCCTCACTACCCTTCTCACAGCAGCCTTGCCTTTGATATGTTGCCTGTGTAAATCCTGATATACCTGTGATATACCAGGCAGAGTATCACAGAACAGAGGAAGTATACTGTCCTCTGCATTCAAACCTCTGCACGTGCATGGGGTAGGGATTGGGTTTTGTTAGGGTTTCTTTGTTTTGTTTTCTTAGGTTTTTTACTCCAAACAATACATGAGGCTTGGGTTTTTTTTTTCCTCCCTATGTTATCTTTACAAAAGGCTATTACGGGGGAGAGAGATGTCTGTTTGCATAGAGGAATGTTTTGCGGCAGGAATTTGGAATCTGAGTTTCCTGATTTCATCTCATTTCTTGGTATTTTTAGGACTGGGTTTGAGCCGTACTGTGTTAATACCAATCAGATGCTCTGTGTTTTGGGTTTTGTTTTTTTTTTTTTCCTGTGTTGGAATTGGTGTTCACCACTTTACTGAAAAACAGCGCTCTTAAGAAAAATGTGACCTCCTGACAGATAAATTCAGAAATGCCAAGTGGACTAGCAGGCATTTGCTTCTTTGCACAGATGGAGCATCATAATCAGTTCAGCATTTAATTGTGTCCCCACCTCATTTATTTCCTTTTAGGTTTATGGGATGATCCTGACTTCATTCCTCTGGTTCTCCATCCACTTCAGCAGCAGCCTGGACCGGAAAGGCAAATACATCCTGCGAGAGAGGTAGAAACTCGTTGCCCGGCCATCCCTACCAGCTAGAGCCCGCTCTTGGTGCAGGAAGATGTCTGAAGGCACCCACAAAACCCCCTGGGAAGGCGTTGCGTGGGGGCAGGCAGTGGGACGTGTGTCATGCATTCCGCCTTCCTGCGCTACGAGCTGTCGTGCATTTCTGAGCTGGTCAGAGCAGATGATGCTCTGCGGAGGAGCAGTCCCACACCTTTGCCAAAACCGCGCAAGGACCGAGATGCACATCTGGTCTTGGACACGCAGATCGCCTCACCAGGGGATGTGTGGGCTGTAGCTCCACAAGCAGGACACACAGCCCCTTAGGACAAAAATGGAGAGAAAAGCCCAGAAAAAATCACAGCATTAAACCAAATTTCTCTGGTGCTGTCATCTGAGCTGTTCCCTCTACCCCCAAAGATGCAGTGTTTCTGGGAAGATGGCTTTGGATCGCAGCCCAGGACTGATCTTGTGCTGTCAGCAAATAGATGGACACAAAGGGTGTCATTGCTGATGGGAAATGTGCTCTCCTAGCCTGGACGCTTGTAATGATTGACTTTGGGCACGTTTTTGATCATGCTCAAGTGTGTAGGCATCCAACAACTGTCAGCTGTTTTTCCTGTGTTTTCAAATATTGCCAGATTTACAGAGCTTTTGACAGAGATCGGGG